GAATCCGAAATAATTAGTTCCGTCATCTTCAGTAAGTTTTGTGGATAATGATAAACTCACCGAGCACGGAATTGGTAGGTCATTGCAATTACGGAATATGCATTCACCTCCGGAAAGAGTGTAGTATTGATCTTCAACTTGTCCTTGAACAAAACCATGTGACCATTGGCCAGTTGGCTAATAATACTGACAAGCTTCATGCCAGGAGCAAAGGTTCAAAACCTGGGACGGCGGTCGTGAAGTTCTCGACTTTGCATTCGCTCCATATTGGAGATACTCGCAGGTATCTTTTAAAGTTTTCGACTCTGCACAGTGCATTCGCTCCATACTGGAGATACTTACAATTATCCTTAGTATCGTATGCACCATTTCTATGAAATTTATTAGAAGAAGACGTTGAAATCGCGCTCCACTTGATGGTATTGCATACATTCTTGGCTTTGAGGATGCTGAGAGTCTTGGCGGAAAGGTCGTTTCATAGCGGGCAGAACCATTAATTGGATTGGACTTCGAGCGGCGATCTATGCAATTGATTAGCTTTTGTTCTCAATTAAGTATTTCAAATCGAAATGCGATGTGAGTTGAGTTCATGACCTGCCGAAAAGTTTCGAAACTGGCAACAAAAAAAAGAGGTGACTTACTTCACAATTTTCGTGGGCCAATTTGATTCGAACTTGCCACAACCTATGTAATGCCTTGTTGGGTTTCAAATCCTGGGACTGGCAGAACAAAGCCGTGAGATGCTTCCAAAGTAATCAGTTCGTTGCTCATAGTAGATGCTGGATAAAAGTATAGAGGAATTACCTGTCTTTGTTTCTGTTCATCAATTGAATTGTTGTAAAAGGTTGAAAAGAAACAAGAAGAGTCTCAAATTTAACAAATATAAGTTTTGTGGGAAAATCCAAAAGAAAATTCGAAATGAATATAAGTTGGACATTATCCGGATAAGTACTACATTGACTACCTTGTTTTTCCGGCCAAAGTCCTTCAAGAATGTCAATGTTTGGAACAAACGAAATATCATGACCTTCAAACTCAGCCTCGTCGCATTTATCATTCAATCTTCCTTTATGCAATATCCTCTCTGTCCTTACAAACCTTCGATTTTCCACTCAGAAGTCAACATTCAACCTTTTGATTCCTTCTCCTTCTCAATCTTACACTTCATATTTAAAGCTTGAAGCTTACAGCTCTCTCAGAGCATGCTTGAAGAAAGCAGTATTCATCAAAATAGTAAAATGGTTTCGCTCTCGTGTTGGTTCTGAAGTAAGTGACCACTATGCTGATCGTTCTTATCACGTTTAATTCATTGTTAAAACTGCTCGATCTATATCCATGTACTTTACTCACAATTTCAATAGGATTGGAACGCCTTCATCGGCACCGCTTCAGAACCAACACAAGAGGAAAAGGCAGCTCGAAAAAGAGCAGTGAAGTCAAAGGCGCAGACAAAGAAAATGACAATGCTTACTCAAGCTTCACTTACTACCCAAGGGACTGAATAGGAAGATTAGGAAGAGGGATCCCTTGAAAGTCAAGCTCAAAAAACTGTTCAAAGTGAAGAAGATTATACACAAACCAATAGGGGTCTCTCTTCCTTTCAGTTCCTTGGGTGGATCTTTTAAAATTGAAGGATGACTCAATCGAAGATCACAAAATGATTCTAGAGAATCTGATGCGCGCTTTTGGTAAGGGCAAATAGGTAAGATCCATTGTGTCACCCGAATATCGAGCTATGCTAACGTGTTTTTATTAGGTCTTAGGCGCAGAATCAGGACTGGAAGATATGGATACCCAGTTCAATACTGCTGGAAATGGTCAACTTCCTTTTCATCCTCGCCCATTGCACCACGTTTCTCCGATCAACATAAAAACAAACCCAACAATTTCCTTCATTCAAAAAAATGTAAGAAGAGTTTCGCAGATTGATTTGTGTCTTATTAACATATCTTTGTCAGAGTTTCACAACAAAACTGCATTTTCATTGAGTAGGAATTCCTTGCTCATGCCACAACCAAAATCTGATTTAGAGAGCCACTAACGTCTGCAGGGTGGGATCATCCCCGACAATCATATTTCCTTGTATCCGGCACGGCAACGTCCAACATTGAAAAGAGAATGATAGCGAGATTTATGGGGTTTATCATTACGAGCTTTTATACAAGTTGCGAGCTACATGACTTTGCTTAATGCGGATAAGTCCGTAAGAAACCAGGGCCAAGCTCGACACTGGCAGTAATCACGCATCTTTGCAAGATCGTGAGGATCTTTGGAGAGGCTCAAGTCTGGGGTTATGAGCCCCGGGACTGGCACTGCGACTTCAAACAATAACATGTCAAGTGAGTAAGTTTTGTGCTTGAATTACGTGGTTGAACTCGTATGCCAGTGCTGACATGAAAATAAGACCAACAGGGAACACACAATGAGGACTTCCTCAATCCACATGCCCTGCGTACTGAAACAATTCAAGCACCAGTGTTTTAATAAATCACTCACCGGATAAAGAGAGCGGTCATTACCATGAAGTTGGGTTGCTTTGGAAGAAGATGGTGGATAATACGAATAGGTTAATACAAAGTCTTTCGTTCCCCCCCCCCCCCCCCCCCGATAAGGCTTGTTCTTCATTGCGAACAAGAAAGAGAAGGAGCTAGTCCACTAATTTCAGTTGAGGTGGAAGCAATTGAGACCGTGTAGATAGATCCGTTAATTGAAAGGATGAATGCAATTTTCCTCAGTTGCCTTTGGGCATGTACCTTTGATGCTTTGCAAGAAACTCTCGCATATGGTTTTGAAAGCCTGTAAGTTTCTTAGTCGCTTCTCTGTATCTTCCATACTTATGATGATGTGCTAACGAAAATGAAGAGTAAGGTGTAGATGCTGGCAGACCAGTGAGGGGTCGTGAATGAGGGCAATATAGAAGCTACACGACTTCGCTTAACGGTCTTATCCGTAGGGACGGACAAACACCCGAGCCAACCTATATTCAACACATAGGTATGAGCAATGGCTGCGACTGGTACTGCCAGTCCTTCCGCGAATCTTCCGACCTAGGCCCAGAAGGCTTTACTCCGCTAACCATGGTTCGCCCTAGAGGGACAAAAATGGACGAGGAAGTCTGGATGAAAATTATCAAATGGTGAGGGATCAGCCAATCTTCACTAATAGTCAATATACCGTTGCATTTTCGCCACTTCCATATGGAATCACCCGAAACCAGATTACTGACAGTCATTTGAGTGATTTCAGAGAATCTGGCCGGCATTCTCTGAATCGTTCAACCCCTTTGATCGCCGAAGCGGAACTTCTACTCCGGACCAAGATCGATGAAGTGGAAGGAAAAATACAAGCAAGTCGAGGATATTCTAGTGATAAGGCGATGGCTGTTGTAAGGGATAGAATCGATGATTCTGGTATGCTTCTTCGTTGTCTCTTTATATCTTATTACCTTTCTTTTTTTTCCAACCAGAAGCTGTTGAGAGAATCATATGGAAAATAACAGAGATTTACTAACAATTAGTATGAGATAGGAACCCAGAGAAAAGACAGTCAGGAAGGATAGACATACGAAGAACCGAAGCTCACCTTAATCAAAAGATGTTCTACCTCCTCTCGAACTCAATGGTCGTACATTTCCAATCCGAAGAGGGTTGCGATATAAATGTATATCGGCTGAAATCTTCTCTGAAAGCACGCTCAAGCTATGAGTTACTGCTTTGAGGAATTCAGATGGTATGCAAGGACTTATTGGCAGACTCTTCCTATGTGCCGTTAATTCTTTCCCTTTTCCATTGTGGTGACAGGATATCATGGTCACGAAGATGGCGTGGAGTTTTATCGCACCATTCTCTCCGGATAATCACAGAGATAAATAAATTTTTGGCGACAGGCAACCATTGGTGTCTTCGGATACCCGTAATTGCCGTCTTTGAGTTCAAAACCACAGAGAAATATGGCTTCAGATGATATTCTGCCGCAGCAAAGAAAATCATGACAAGGTCAAGCTTTCCCTTGGAGGAAAAGCATTTAGGGATGGATTGTCTGGTGGCTTCGTCCAAAAGACCATTTAAAGGGTGGGCTCCAAGACTCTATGAAGGATGGCCAACAAGCAAGAATTTGCTTTAGTACGACCGAGGCAAAATCATTAATCTCTCCCGGGATTGTTTCTCCATCAAATTCCGAGCTGCATTAAATGCCATCGTTTTTATTCTTCATTTTTTCTTCCTGATGATATAATTGTGCCAGCGGTCATGTGGCCACTTCAGTTTGAGTATTCTCCGGCTGAAAAACACATAGAAAGTGAGTTGTGGGTGAAGTGTAGCAGATTGTGGAAGGTGGTAAATACAATAACCCCAAACTTTGTCCCTTGGAAGAACAGTATTGATTTATTTCACCCCAAGTTGAATCTTCAATCACCGAAAGCACGTGTATCTAGAAGAAAAATTGACTTCCCTGTAGAAGATGTTGGAAGCAGAGGAAGGAGGTACAAGGCCAGCGAAGAAGGCGTGAACAATTAGGTTTGGTGGGATCACTTAAAAATCTTTCAGCAAGGTTCTTCTTCGCAACACAAAAATACCTCAACTACGCGCTTTTCATTAAGTCATCAGGATGGGGGATTTGTTTGGTTCTCTCATTTTGCATGCCTTTTTGTACTTCAAAGCCATCAGTGATACAGCATCAGAAGTTATCACCAACTTGCTACTAGTGTGGATTCTCTCAACCCCGAAGTCTTTTCGATGGTAGATCGAAACTTACTAACTCACAAATTACAAAATGATTGGTATTCTTATAACATCGCACCTGTGTATTCATAGGCAATCCCTTTACGTCATGTGCATACCAGACCGTATATGCGGAAGTATAGTCGCACTGCATGTCGAGGATGTACCTCGAGGCTGTTGAGAAATCATTTCCTTTATTACTTCGACTTCTTCTTCTTCTTCTTCTTCAAGTGGTTTCTTTTTTTCAATCAGTATACCGTGGCGGATATCGAGTTGAAGAAAATGGCGTCGTGCGATGATTCCGATCAAGAAAAGAAAGACTTGTTGGAAGTGGGAAGCACACCTCGTACTTTGATGGCAGGCGTAGTCGAAAAAAGTGCGGGATCTTCACTACCTCTCGCCTCAACTCTGATTTCTTCCGAATATGATGTTCCGAATATTCATACCGAGGACAAAGGAAAATCGCCATGTTTCCAAAAGGCTCAAACAGTCATAGATGAAGATGAGAGTTTAGAGATTAAGTCAACAGGAAATTATGAAGAAAAATTTCACGTGGATCGTGAGCAGTCTGGTATATACGGAAACTGTTTGAGAACAGGAAAGTTCTCGAGTCATTCTTTGAGAATCTTTTATTACAAATGTTAACATTTTTTCCTGACAGATCAGCGAATTGATTCTGATATACTGCCTCAAAACAACACCACGACGGCGCAATCTTGTGGTCTGACTACAGATACACTCGAAGCGGCATCAAAAGGTCAAGATGAAACCTTAGTCACAGTACCTATTGCGAAGTTACAGCGATTGGTAGAATACTGCATACAAGTTTTACATGAAAGCCGAAAAACAATCAAAAGCGCTCAAATAGACCAAGAGAGGAATAGCACGGAAGTAGTACATGATAATTCTCAACTTTGAAATATGGCCGTTGAAACAAAACGCATTGTCTCCCCAGCTTCCAGTTCCGTCAAAAGTAGTCCCAAAGGAACTGAAAAAATAACGGCAACCAGGAGTAGGACGGAACTTGCACGGGCTGAGATCGTAAGTCGTATCCATGATCATCCTTGGCCAATTAAGAATATAGAAATAGACGCGACTTATCTTATTGACAAGGACATACTAGATGGTTTGTCGAAGATCGAAAACTTCCAAGAAAATTTCGAAGTAGCTTGGTTGAAATATTTCGCAGACTTCTTTGTACAGGAGCCTTCTTGTTCAAACCCTCCAGAAATACGAAAGGTGTGGTTGTGAAGACGCCTCAGTACCTATCTCTTCTCTTCATCAAGCGTGAGTTCGGACACAGAGAACCTTACCGCAATTCTGATCTCTTATATGAATTATGGGAAACTAAATCTAAGATGGAAGGAGATACCAACTCATACTATAGGGTCCATACTCGAATTTTGTTACAAAAACAAGATACTCGAGCAGCCTCGACTTATAAAATCAACTCCTAACATTACTGAGAATGCTAAATATTCAGCTCAGGTTAAAACGGTCATCATGGCAATATCAGTCTTGAACGACTGTTTCGATCCACTACGTTTCCAATATATTGATGGATTGATAGAAGATCGTCCGATCGAAGAAATTTTAGCTCTAAATCTCACAGAGCTGAGAACCTATTTCCGCATATCTAGAATCAGCCTATCCGAGCCTGAGATTGCCACTGAAAACACTGGAAAAATTGATATTCTGAATATAATAGCGTTAAAGACGATCGAAATCTCAACATACACTGGACAGACTATCTGGAAGAACATTTGATCTTAGATGCCGTTGAGAGAACACTATATCTTGCATATCCAAGATTACACTTTGCTTCCAAATTTGAGATACTGCAAAAAGCTTTGTGAGTCCCATCTAAAAGCCGAGGAATCTTGACAAGATACTAAATAATTGGAAAGCATTGATACTTATGAAATTTGCCCATACGAGGATAATTTCGGTCAAAGATGTCTTGACATGATGGATGATGCTATGGGAGTTTCATGGGCAGTGTTATTCTCCTCTCGACACACAAAATCATATTTTCAGATGGCATTAAGATTTCTTCATGTCGCAGATAATCCTAAGGAATTGCTCAAACGCGCATACGAACGTATATCCTTCAACCCGAATAGACGCCCCTATTGTTATCCTGAAGACATGATGTATCCATGGCAGTCTGACTATCGTGATCCTGCGATTATGAGCATGGCCGAGATTGAGATTTAGGCAAATTATCATGTTTCGCACTTTGCAAGGTTGGATATGAGCTACGGAGGGATTGGAGCCCAGCAGAGGACCACCATGCACTACTCGAATTTCGACATCTTCGAAACAAAAATTCGTCAGTTAAAACATTACATGGATTCCCAAAAGCCTCGCGGATTTCGACAAATCTGGAGAGACAAGAGAGATGCGTTGAATTATTATACATTCTGGGGTGTTATTATATTTGGAGCGTCGACTTTATTCCTGGCAATAGTATCACCGGCTATTAGTGCTGCACAAGCCGTTGCTGCTTTCAAAGCTTTGGATATGCCGCCTTCGGGTCATTGATATGCAGCCATTTATATGTTGGTTTTGATATTGGATTTTCGATATCATTTTGAACCATGTACTGCGGTCGTTTTATTGAAAAGTGGTTTCAGAGGGGAAGTTGCTACTTTCGGAGCTCGGAATAAGCAGAATAACGTCCACCCATTTTTGGAAGGGTGTGGGATTTAAAGGAACGTAATGAATAACGATTTTTTATTTATTTATAGAAAACAAAATAGTCGGGATATCACTCTCTTGTTATCTTATAGCTCCCCATATTTTCAGGTTTGCCATGAATACTCTAGTTAAAACTTTGACCCATTTACTTGAGTGGGAAATAGTTTCCGGAGCAATGACGAAGAGGAATATGGTATGTTTAAACATGAGTTCTTGAAATTTGAGCTGTCAAGTAAAGATGAGAAGGAGGAAAACCATACAAACTAAACGAGAAAACAAAGACTTTGATTTTGGAACGCCACGAGTAAAGAAATTATCCATCAAGAGTAGCATACAAATCATCCAATTCCTCTCCATACAATTCCTCGATGGAAAAGACCTAGTCCGATAAATGCTCTGGTATTTTGGTAGAGGGAGAGAGCGATAGGTTGATGACCGGGTGGTGGTGGGATGAGGAAAGTGTCGTGTTGTGATATGGCACCATGGGTCAATGTGGTGTGTTTTTGGGTACCGGTTGAACCGGAGGTATGGAGGACAACGAAAGGTTCATATCTTGCTTGGTCGAAGGTTTTGGTGTATGGGTATGATGGTACGGAATTATCCGAAAGTATTTCCTGGAGATTTTGTATTTTTAATGTACGCATCTGTCTTTTCGAGAGAAGATTTTGAGTTATAGATGGTAATGTTTCCGGACCTAAAAGGATTCTGCACTTTAAAGACTCGAGTAGTGCGATATGACCTTCTAGACTGTTTCGAGGTGAATAAAAAAACATCTATGAATTATGTTAGATGTTCGAATTAATTAACCGAAGGAAGGGTTTAGCCACTCTTGATAGCAGCGAATAGTAATATAATGTATCGCAAGTCTTGAGGTCCAACATAGTTGAGTGTTTCAATTGTTTCACTGCGACCTATATTTTTTCCATCCACCAAGAACATTTATCGATAGAACGAGCAAAGCATTGGAATGTGATATCTTGAAATTCATCTTGGATGTCATTTGATAGTGGAATCGATGCAAAAACACGAGTGGGATCACTTAAAGCTAGGCCATCAATCACGTGAGGCAGTAGTCTTCTTCCACGGTCGCTTGAAGCAATAAGATCTTGTGTCATGTTGAGATTCGAATAGTCATTGATTCAGTCTTGTAAGACTATCTAGGACGGGACTGATTGAAATACATGTAAAATGAACAATTCCATGATAGCACTTGGAGTCCAACAGTTTGTGTTACAACGGAAGTCTTTCTTGACCGATTGACCGATGATTTAACATGAAGTATCCAATCGAGGAACATTGTTTACTGCGTCTGCTTGCGCGGGGGATTTTCTGACTGCGCATATGCAGGTCTGCGGCAGTCATCATCTGTGCACTAGCACTTGACAATTGTCAATATCAAACCGAGTTAGACTGAGGAAACAACTGATTGCTTTACAGTTGCTACCTTGACACTATTCATAATGAACGAAGTACATGACGACGGAATATTCTTATTCAAGGAGGCTGAGAGAGTAAAATCTTTGGAAAACTACCGAGGTACATAACAACTAAGTTGCCCGAATGTGAATATTTTTGAACGAGAGATGGAAGACCGAAGACCTAGTCGTCAATCCGAATCGCCAACCAAAAGCTTTTCTATCAGAATTCTTTCGCTTACGTGAAATGATGTTCGTCTAGGAGGTTCGAGAGGGGATCTAGTAGAACGGAATGGCCGGGACACTGATAACACTCCAACGGAATTATATACATGCTAGGAACACATTTTTTTGAGTGAGCCTAGATAACGGTAGGCTGAATTCCGATACTGAAGATTCCATTATGGTGTTTTCTGGTCCAAAATATTGATCATTTGATTTGATGCTGAATTTTGAAAGGAGTGAATATATTATTCTTCGATTTTTCTTCTGTGAGGTCCAATTCATTAAAGGTGGTAATTTCCCGGTAGAACCAATACCATTATGATTATCTTAACTAGTGATGTATTTTTTGCGACAATGTGTAATAATATTCAATATCTCTTCCGCGCTTTGCCGTGTTAAATGACTTCTAATCTGGAAGCATTGAATATTGTGAATATTGTGAATAGTATCAAATGAGAAGAATCAAATTTTATCCACAACCCATGGATACCAGATGTAATGCGGGTGGATCTGCTTGAGCCTGAGGCAAAAAAAAACTAAAAAGACCCTGGACTTGCTCCCCACATCGGCCATGGTAAAAAAAAAAGTTGAGATAATATTTTGAACCTCAATCTTCAACTTTTTTCTCTTGTCATTCCTTTTCAATCATTTTCAATATTTGCATGCGATACGTGTAAATATACTTTGGAAATGGATCAACAACAATTCTTAGAGCTCTTACAGGGCGTTCAGATTCGTAAGTTTCTACCAAATCGTAAAATACCCCTCCATTTTTGCTAATCTTTCCATCATTACAGCTGATACGGAGCGTGTCAAGGCCGCAACTACAGAATTGAGAAAGAACTATTACCCAAACCCAGAATCCCTTCTCTGGCTCATCGAGATCTTCATCGCTCATGGAGATCAAGCAATTAGACAACAAGCCGCCGTCGAGGCTCAACGCTTGGTCAAGAAGCACTGGAAAAACATTTCAGATGCCCAAAAACAACAAATCAGAGAACAACTTTTACAAAAGACATTAAATGAGGAAGTCAAATTGGTTAGACACTCTGGTGCTCGTGTTATTGCCGCTATTGCAGGTCAAGATATCGAAAACGGACAATGGGCCAACCTTCCAGATACTCTCGCACAAGCCGCAAGCTCTCCTCAAGTTTCACATCGTGAGGTCGGAGTTTTCATTCTCTTTACCTTACTCGAGACTGCTTCGCCATACTTCGCCGAGCAAACTGCTGTTTTGTTCTCCATCCTCAGCAAAACGATTCACGATCAAGAGAGCACTGATGTCAGAATCAACACTTTGATCTGCCTTGGTGCCGTTGCTACTATGATCGAGCCAGATGAGGATCCAGAAAGTTTGAAACTCTTCCTTGAGATTTTCCCACAAATGGTCATTGTCTTGAAGAACTTCATTGATTCCAAGGAGGAGGACCGCACCGTACAAGCTTTCGAGGTTTTCCAAACTTTGTTGGGTTGTGAATCAGCTTTGATCGCACCTCACTTCAGAGACCTTTGCAGCTTCATGCTTGAGGTTGCCTCGAATACCAACAACGAAAACGACGCAAGAACTCAAGCTTTGTCTTTCATCATGCAATGCACCAGATATAGAAAGATGAAGATTCAAGGCACCAAGGATTTGGGTGAAAAGATCACCATGGCCAGCATGCAAATCGCTACTGAGCTCGAGGATGATGATGATGAGGATGATGAGACTTCTCCAGCTCGCTCTGCATTGGGTCTTCTTAGTTTACTCGCAGAAAGCTTGCCACCTCGTCAAGTTATTGTTCCTCTTCTTAACGCTCTTCCACAATTCTCCAACCACCAAGATCCAAGATATCGTCAAGCTGGTATCCTTGCACTCGGTATGTGTGTTGAGGGTGCACCAGATTTCGTCGGTACTCAAATGGATAGTTTCTTACCTATTGTCTTCAAACTCCTCGAGGACCCAGAAAGTGGTGTCAGACATGCAGCTCTGAACGGCGTTGCAAGATTGGCAGATGATCTTGCCGAAGATCTTCAAAGCACTCACGAGCACCTCATTCCTGCTCTTCTCAAGAACCTTGATGCTGCTATGCAATATGCAGCTGGTGGAAACAACGACAAGCAAACTCTTGATACCATGAAGGCATCATGTGGTGCTTTGGACTCCTTGACTGAGGGAATGGACCAAGAAATTGTCAAGAACTACCTCCCAACTCTTGTTCCACGTCTTACTCAATTGTTGGACCACCCAGATGTCGGTGTTAAATCTGCTGCCGCAAGTGCTATCGGTTCCCTTGCAAGCTCTGCTGAGAAGGAATTCCTTCCATTCTTCAAGGACACCATTGAGAAGTTGGCACAATTTGTTGAATTGAAGTCAAGCAATGATGAACTCGATCTCCGTGCTACTGTCTGTGATTCTATTGGTAGCATGGCAGCAGCTGTTGGTGCTCAAGTCTTCCAACCTTATGTCAAGCCATTGATGCAAGCAAGTGAAGAAGCTCTACACCTTGACCACCCACGTCTCAAGGAAACCAGTTATATTCTCTGGAGTACCTTGGCAAAGGTCTACGAGGAGGAGTTTACACCTTTCCTTGAGGGAGTTGTTACTGCTTTGGCTGCTTGTTTGGATCAAGAAGAAGACAACCTTGAGGTTGAGCTCGGTGAACATGCTCAAGACTTGCTTGGCCAAGAAGTTATTGTTGCCGGAAAGAAGGTTAAGGTTGCTGGTGCTACAGATGTTGAGGAGGCTGATGACATGGATGATGATGATGATGACGAAGACTGGGATGATCTCACTGCCGTTACCGCCGTTGCCATGGAGAAGGAAGTCGCAGTTGAAGTTATTGGTGATATTCTTACACATACTCGTCAACACTACATGCCATACTTTGAGAGAACCATCGAGGCTATTTCTCCATTGGTTGAGCACTCTTATGAAGGTGTTAGAAAGACTGCCATCAGCACAATGTGGAGGGCATACGCTTGTCTTTACAGTATGATGGAAGACAAGACCGGAACAAAGTGGACCCCTGGTTTACCCTTGGCAGCTGAACCAACTCCTGAGTTGGTCAGAATGGGAGAGATTGTTACCACTGCTACAATGTCTCTATGGGAAGATGAGTATGACCGGTAAGCTAATTTTTTCTAAAAAAAATTCTATCACATGAAATGATGAACAACATGACGTTATACCCAGCTCACTCAGATGCACAAGTTGCACATGCTGCGAACGCGTATCTACTCCTGATCATTATTATTGTCATTTATCTGTACAGATTCCTTTGAAGAATATATCTAACATTATATGATAGTGGTGTCGTTACTGATATTAACCGCAACGTCGCTTCTACATTGAAGCTTTGCGGACCAGCTATTTTGGCTCAACCAAACTTTGCCGAAGCCATCAAGAACGTCATCTTCGCCGTCATCATGCGTCTTCACCCATGTCAACAAGATCTTGGTGATGAACTTGAGTCACCTGATGACGAAGATGCTGAATCTTCCGAATATGACTGGCTCGTCATTGATACCGCCCTTGACCTTACCTCAAACCTTGCTCTCGCTCTTGGAGCTCAATTTGCTGAGATCTTCAAGGAGTTTGAGAAGCCACTCAAGAAGTTCGCTTCTTCCAACACTCCATTCGAAAGATCTACCGCTATTGGTGTCATTGCTGAAATCACTGGCCACATGGGATCAGCCATTACTCCTTTCACTGCTTCCCTCTTGCCAGTTCTCCTCAAACGCCTCTCTGATACCGATCCTGAGGCAAAGTCCAACGCCGCATATGGTACCGGTCTCTTGATCTTCCACTCCCAAGATAGCGCTACCTATCTCCCATCATACAACAACATCCTTAGCAAACTCGAGCCTTTACTTCAAACCAACCATGCCCGCTCCATTGATAACGCCTGTGGATGTGTTTCCCGTATGATCATGGCCCACCAAGATGCTGTTCCACTTGATGATATTCTCCCAGTTATGGCTGGATTATTGCCACTCAAGGAAGATTACGAAGAGAATGAGCCAATCTTTGAAATGATTGCTGGACTTTACAGTCAAAGCAACCAAACAATTTTGCAACTCACTCCAAAATTGATTCCAGTATTCGCTGCAGTTCTTGGCGAGCCAGTCGAACAATTGGAGATTGAGACTAGAGAAAAGGTTAAGGGTGTTGTCAAGTTCATTGGTGGAAGCCACCCAGAATTGTTGAACGGACACCCATCATTGCAAAACTTGTAATTGCATATTTAGGGACTTTTCTTTAGGAATAATTTGGTGGAATGGATTTCTGATTGATGACTGTATTGGTATCGAACTGAATACGATATACTTGGTCTGAAAAAAAATATCGGAATGGATAGATTGATGGGAAGGAAATAAAAGGTTTTTATAAGTTATGACGTGATGAACATACCCCAAATGCACGAAACGAAGGATGAAGGACGAATAGATAGAATTTTACTACTTGTAGACAGAATGAGAACTTTTGTTTTGTTTTAAATTTCTTTTGGGCATGATTGCATTTTTCGCTTGAATTTTCTTTGATTTTATTATTGGCACGTGTACGTTGATTCATATCTTTTATGGAGGCAAGCCCCCAGACCCCCAGACCTCGCTGCGCTCGAATATTTGGAGGGGTAACGATCTTCTTTGAGGCTCTTTCTGATGTTTAAATCGAAAAAGATTATCAATCAATCAAGATGGCTGCTGGAAAATTACATTCGGTGGTGAACAAAGCCTCTCATTCGTAACCCGATCCAATCAGACATCGCCCACTCTATATTTAGAGATTTCGCTACCAAAATAGTGCGCAGTGCTTCTGGGATGAAAAACGTTCGGTCGTGTTTTGGCCCGATTTCGGGAAAAGTATTATCCTCACGTGCTTCAATTGCACCGTGTGTGTCGCTGCTGCGCCGTCGGTACCGAAACATCAGACCAACTTACTCGTGTTGCAGATTGCGAATGTGGAGTTGTTGATTAGCCAGGTAAGTGTATGCATGGGCTGTGTTTCCTCAAAGAAGTCTTTGCGGGGAAGATCAGTCTTGGGGGCTGGATTGTTTTTTATGTATATGATGTTTGGAAAACAGTATGGGTCAAGGGAACTTGTTTATTAGGATCGAGTATTTGATTCATTCCAGCACTTGATTTATTCTATTTTATTGGGAAGACATGCCAGACCTTTTGAATTTTTTCACTGACAGAGGTTCTTAAGAATCTGCACTCTCGATCACTTGGTCGCAGGGGTTTATAACCTGAGTGGAGACCTGTGAAGGGGTGGGGTCGAGAAGAAGCTCTCTCTAGGTTCTGCACACTCTGGATTACCAATTTGGGAATTTCGATGCAACGCAAGAAATGCGCAGCCCTTGATGTTATCTCCCCGTTTGATCCTACGTATCACATTTGTATAAGCTGCATAACGAGGCTATCAGGCTCTTGCGTGAAGGATGCGGCACGTAAATTTTCGTGACAAATTATTTGGGGGCCATTCGGAGACTTTAATATAGATTGGAATGGTACTGAGCTGGAGTGTCCCATCCTTTTTTCTTGTGATTAGTTTCTTGGGTCGATTGGTTCGAGTTTTTGTCTCGCCTAAATAAGAAGCTTTGATATTTGTTTAACGAAAATGTTGTTTCGCTACGAGAGTTTAGCTTCGTTTTTGGTTTGTGTTGAAGCTGTCGCGGCTTTGTATAGCAGCGATGTCAAGGTCTCTCAACGGGATTTCTCTTCAAGACAAACGACTAGCTTAGGGGCTATCACTGTGCGTTCTGCGGAACAAAAACGAGGCCTTGCGAATTTTAAACCAAATTTGGAGTGTACTCATCATTATGCTGATCGTAAGTCGGCCATTTTTTCCCTAGATTTTTGATCTGGACTCCGATCTATTAATTTGCCTAATCACACATCGGTTATTGAAATTTCCGAACAATAATTCATACTTTGCTGCCAAGATTAAATGAGATACTAATAATGCGCAGATGATTCCATAATTCGAGGAGCACATTCGAGATTTGCATCCACATCGATGAAATATAAATTACCTACAGTCACTTTGGAAGATATCGAGCTCAACATCAAGAATATTCTATGCTCAAAGTCGACCATCATTGTTGAATTCCCTTCTGCAAATTTATTAGCAGGGGCAGAAAAAGAATGGAAAGATTTATCAGAGTTCTTGGTCATTTCATCACATACCGGATGTAATGACCGGAATGCGCGGGCTCCATATCTGTAAGTGACAATTATAATAATGTCTCGACAATTACTAATAATTAAATCAGAGTGTCTAACGTGGAATACATTCTCAAATCCAATACCGCAATCCTCTCCGTGCAACGGATTGAATGGAACGATGCATATGATACGATGGAAGTAAAATTCGGTATGGGCAAATACGACCGTAGCGCCATTCGTATACACAGTGATTTGCGCAAAAGAATTACTTCGACGGTGTCAGTATCATCTTCAGAAACTTTCTCTTTTCCGTCAGCGCCATCAGCAACACCAACCTCGGATACATCGGTTCATGATATTGGACATGTGGTACCTGCGGGATTTACTCTCGGAAGTTTCTCTACTTCGTATGTTCATCCTTTATTTCCAATATATCGAACTAATAGGAGTAACAAAAATGATTAGGAATGATGGTGCAGGAGGATCTTTATCAATAAGTTGTGGTAATTGTTCAATCGAAGGTTCAATCGAATTGACTCAGGGTGTTTTCAATGTTAGCAAATCCTCTCACAATACAGAGAAAGCAGTGAACTTTGTAGAGCAAGGTTATTTCGACATGGTAGTCAATGGATTAGGTGCCCATATCGAAATTGATTCCGCGGTTGCGGGAACATTTACAGAAACTTTCACTGTGGAACTTACCAGATTGACTTTACCGGGTTTCCAGGTATGTCAAAATTTTACCCCACATCCCTTTGACCCAGGGATATGTCTCTCACAGATATTCTAACATATATTCTAGATCCCAGATATTGCCGCAATAGGTCCAATGTGGGTTCCCGCAATTCAAGGTTCTATCGGTGTCTCTAGAAATCTAAACTTTACTTACGGTTTCGACGTTTCCGTCCCGGATAAATCCTCCATTCGACTTAACATTGGAAATCTAACCGAATCAACTTCTTCTGGTTTTAGCGACTCTGCCATCACCGCTCTTCCCCTAACTGCGACTGATCCCTCTATATCCTTAACTCTCTCCCTTGCCCTTCATTCTGAAATACTCCTCGGTGTCGACATATTATCAGGCAAAGGTTCCATAGCCGCCGGAGCCTTTCTCGATCTTCCCGCCCTCTCCGTCACAATCTCCGAACTCACCTCAGTAGACGAAAATTGCAATCCGGCTCAAAGCTCCTCCTCTAGTGTCAAAGATCTAGACTATTTTTCCTCTCTCACAAACATTGTTCCACAAGCAGATATAGCGATAGGACTTCAAGCCGGTATTCAATTGAGAATTCCAGATCTAAATTTTGTGGAGAATGTAGGGACGACGGCTACGCTTGCTGGAACGAGTATGCTACTTCCGACGCATTGTATGAGTTTCGATGGCGGGAAGAAGGAGTTTGTTACTCCGGGAGCTACCGGAAGTTCGAGTTCGAGTTCGAGTTCGAGTTCAAGTACCGGTACAGCGGGAAGTTCGAAGAAATCGAATGCGGAGAAAATGGTTTCGGTGCCGGTGGTGGGGAGTGGAGGATTTGGAGGACTGACTTGGATGGCGGGGTTTCTGGGGTGTGTGGTCTTCGTGGCGTTGGGATTATGATGATGATTTAATGATTCTTAAGTTTTGGGTAATGAAGGGGAAAGAAAATTCGATATGAGTTTGTACTCATAGCTCATGTCACTAATGAATAAAGTAGATTGAATGGGATTTGACACATAGATTGCTGTCATGATTGATGGCTGTTAAAGTAAATGACATTCTAAACAAGGAATTCCGACCAAATTGCGCAATTCCCCAAACAGATATGACTTTTTCGATTTACTTACCTGTCGAGCCAAAATTCCCGGATTCAAGATCAGACGAGTGGGGAGAAAGCGCTCACTCTATTGACCATTCACCTTCTTCTATAACAGGAATCTTTATTCTCTTTATATCGTTTATGAATCCCAGACTATTGCCTCCAATTAAAATTGCGCCATATGAACATTTTCGTCGTTTAGGTTTTGCTATATGGGATCGGAAGAGAATGTTTGCTTTTGGTCTCGCAAACGAAGCTAGAAAATATGAGGTGTATTATAATGCCAGAGAAATGACGTTCAAATACTTGAGTGTCTTACCTCAGGAAGAATAGAGCGAATGGGTCCATTGGACAACAATGCCGGTCGTGATTGTTTAAAGCACAGGTTCGGATTTTAGTAATGTCACACGTTGTGACTTACAACTGTTAACTTTGGGGAACAGAATACCACCCAGACTTAGGAATTTCTTTGTAGTTACTTTATTTTCGTAATAAGAGACAAAATTACTCTGGAGAGCTTGCAGACCATATCCGCAGTTGCCATTTATTTAGAAGCGATGAAATTAAAGGAAAATTTCTGTGGAAGGATCTAATTGTTGATAGTTGAAGAAAAGCTCATCTCTCTCAAGGTTCTGTAATTATCAGCCTCTCACACTCGTAAAAGCTTTTAGTTAATGGATGTTGGTCGAGGTAGGAATGGAAGGAGCAACAATCAAGGGGTTGTGGTGTCACGTGCCGTGATTAATACCCCACAATAGTGGTCAATACCCCGCAGTCCACAACAATACTCGAGCAAAGAATTTTTGCAAGACTCATACTCGAGTACTTCTTCATTACCTGACTTTCTATCTTCGTGTTACCTGTAAATCTCTTCTATTGCTCACTTCTTTTTTCTATCTCTCAGAAACTCTCATCGGAAACCTGTCTACCTGTCTACCGTTCTCCGACACTTCCATCGTATAACACCATTTTCCCGCCATGTCTTTCCTTGGAACTATCTGCATAAACTTTCATCATACCATCACAAGAAAGATTCGTGGAAATCAAACTTTTGTTTATGAGCTCATCATCAAATCCAAGACCTTTTGCGCCTTCATAGCCTAGCTCAGTTGCGACCCAGCCAGGCATCATAACAAAGGCATTCAGCCAGTCGTCCTCAGCATTAATTCGAACAGTGAGCCAATTAACAGCAGCCTTTGAGGGACCATATGCAGCATTTCTGATTGGAAGTTGGTGTCTATAGAAAGTTTAAAACCAGGCATTTAATATTATGGAAGGAATGTATTTGTGCTTACGCAATTGCCCCGGCCGAAGAGCCCATGGGTGTGAAAATGGGATTCTTTGATTTCTGCAGCAAATTTCGTGTTGCTTGGTATATTGATATACAGCCATAGACATTCGGTTCTATGTGGGCTTTCAGGTCCGATATTTTAAGATCAGCCACTGTTGGCCAAACATAAGAAACGCCTGCGTTGGCAATAACGATATCAATATGTTGGATGCCGTGCTTATCCTGGAGTTCTCGGACGGCATCAAATGCATCTTGTTCGATCGAGGCGTCAATTTTGACGATAATTACTGTCAAATGTTAGACTTATTCTTAATCTTTGAAGTTTAAAGTCATTTAGAAACTGATCAGGAAGTCCTGTGTTGTGCCTCTTCATTGCAAGTCGAAACCAGTGGTAGGCAAATCAACTATACTTACGACTAGTTCCAGATCCTCTAGGAAGATCAGCGAGCCTTTTCGAACTCTCGTGGAATGGATCACGATTTGCCGCAATCACAAGGTGATTTGGTAATGCTAAGTAGCGTTCTAGAAGTCCTTTACCTAAGCCCCGATTTGCACCAGTTATCAAGACTATAGTTGGTGACATTGTGAGGCAGTAAAGTTCTAGGTATAAGTCAATTTATTGTAGTGAAGAAGTAATAGGACTTTGATGGTCGAATTTACTTCATTTTTGATGGGAGTGTATGTGAACATCTTACAAAGTGAGAAATTTATCACAGATGATAGATTTTCTCCGCATTACGGATGTATTGATTGTAAATCAAGAAAATATAAATCCACTCTAGATGATTTATCTGGTGAGCTATTGGACGACAAAACCAATGACAGAAGTGAGACCATGAATTTTTCTCAAGAACGTCTGACGAGCAGGTTAACATTCCGACGAGACGACGGACATTTGTATTCCAGGGGTCCAGGGGTGGAACGACCAATCATCAGCCGCGCATCGATCAATATTCTGAATAAATCCTTCACAATTATGTTTGATTCCTTTGATTGATTGAATAACACATCCTATTTTTGAAGTTAGCAGCTTTCCACTCATCTGTATACAAGCCGTCCTGGAGGTTCTAAGATAATAGTTTTATCTTTCACCCTATAATTGTCGTCGCATATCCCATTCAGCCCTCGTCAAATTTAATTGGGACTAGGTCATGCCTTCACGCCCTCCCCAACGTCACATGCCAAATTTTCTTTTCAGCCTCATCATTGGCAATCATGGATCTATGGAGCCATGAAATATGTAGTTCATTCAAGCTTTTTATAAAAATACTTCCATCTAGATACATGCCGCGGAGATCTCATGCATTCTTTGCTGACTCTTAAAATCTAGTTCTGAAGACTGCTGGAAATTTCGATGCTAGAACGATTCAAAGATATTGTACATAATCTACATACGTTATACACGAGTCAAGTGTGGGATCACGCGCCAGCCTCCACGAAAATTATTTCTTTTTCCGTGCTTAACACTTGAAGAACTCAGGACGCTCACCCGTCTCTTTGCGTCACATGAGTAGCCACTGTGTAGTACTGCATAATAGAATCGTGGTTTTCGTTCATATGTCTCATAATTAAGCATCTAATCATTTCAAGCGATAAATATTTCAATCTATTGCCCTATTGGCAATCAAATCCGAGCCAACATTTCGGAATCAAAAGAGGTATAAGTAGGAACGTCGAGACGTGAAAGAATTTTATTTTTCCAATTTTCCTGACATTTCAGAAAACTCTCTTCCACAATTAAAAGATTACTTTACAAAATGAGATTTTTTCCCAAAGTCATCGTCGCATCTTTCGGTGCATTAGCTACTGGTAATCCTCTTATTCCCGTTCTTCCATCGAGGGATACCTCCGTTACTCAATCATCATCTGTTATCCCCAGTTACACAGTCCTCAACAATTACTGTGAAGCTGCGGGCCCTAATGCTGTAAGTCAATTGGTCTTCCTTCATATTCGTTTGCATCTTAAGCCAGAACCAGGCGTCATATTTCATCAAAATCGCCAGCCCATAGTTCCTTGCCATAGTTTACTTGATACCTGGATATGAACCGCACTTACTAACTTTTTTCTAGTACGTCGGAGTCCAATATGATAACGGAGTAATAACCTCCTATAATTATGGTGATTGTTATTCCTACGTCGTAAATGGCAGTACCGCATTGGCAGCCGTTTTCTGCAAAAGTGTCATCTGCACAAACTGCTCGTATGTATCACGTTTTTTGTTTCCTCACTTCCCGTCTCTCGTGCTGTCATTTTGATAGCTCGAATTAAATGTCCACCATCCTAGACTCTCCATCCTCCAAGCTTTATCTGAGGATCTGCTAACATTCTTAAAATAGCGGCGACGATTGTACCGACCCCAACATTGTTCTCACAGTTCCAAGGAGTTTAGTTTTGGTCAATCCAGCGGGAGTTGTAACAACAGTGTTAGGAAAAGGCGCGATTTGTCAAAAACTCCCGCTTGACTTGCCAGTTTAATCCTCAGATGAGCCAAAGCTTTTCATTGAAAACAATTGATAAGGTGTTGAGTTGATTACGGTATATGGAAGATGGTTGCTAAATATCTGGGGGAGGCATTCACCTTTGTCAGTATGGGAAAAGGCTTCAGAGTTTCAGAAAATGAATATTGGTCGTCATTGAAGAAACTCATACCCGCCAAAGTCCCTTTCGATTGGCATCCCAAGCTAGTTCATATATTTACCCTTTCAGTTACTCTGCTTCGATATTCTGAAATTTGCGTTTCCGCACGATAGTCCTTGTTTAATTCATCTGTCTAAGAATTGTGATCGAATCATCGTTCAAGCGCCATATTCTAGTGACAAATGGTATATGCAAGCCGAAATATTTCATCTATGTCAATGCCATGAAGCGGCTTGTAGCAAATAAAGTTTAGATGTCTAACACGTTTCTCATCATTGCAACATTATCGAGATTACAGGACTCGGGAATCTTTGTACTCGCTTGTAACATTGCTCCAGATCGTCCTTGAAGACTTACGATCAATCAATTGTGACATCTACCGGCGTGGCCGAACACTAACTATACCGATCTAAATCATTCATTGACGTTTTCGCTTCTCTCTATGGCTATCTGTGTTACGATCTTACCTCTCAGCTCGTTATTTTTGGTTCACTTTGTAGCACCATACCAAATTACCGTTACCAAATTTTGTTTCGAGAAATGTCAGGCGTAGAAATATTCTTCGAAGAAGCGAGACTGTGTCTACATAATGAATGTACGAACAACTTTTGGGGGCAATTTGAGATGTTTTAGGCTTTACTTACTTTATTTTTCACGATTGTCTTCAAGAATATCAGATATCGATTGGATATATCAACTCCCAGTCTACCGCTTCACTGCCAGCTCGATCAATATTTCATTCTGTCAATATATGATTCGACATTCTTATAAACAATTGTTACAGACTTGGCAACATAGCTTTACCACAAAAACCAGTATGTTCAAGGTCCCTTTAATGAGTTGTTTGAAGAGGTATAAATCCTTGCTATCACCTCTCAACAAAATGTCAATCCTATCCCATCATAAAATACACACAACATCTCTTCCCTCTCATCCAACTCTAAGTCTCAAACTTCTCATCCGTCGATTCTTCATTATATTCATAAGCAAAAATGAAAATCACCACTCCCCTCACAAGTCTCTTCCTCAGTTTCGCGAGCTACACGACCATCAATGCTCAAACAGCAGCTGACACAATAACTTCATGTCAAGACCAGAATGTCAACAATGTAAGAAGATTTCTTCCCCATCCTCACAATATCCTCCATCTCATCATCTAAATTATAAATATACTATTCCCACCAAACTATCACATCTCAAATGAACCCCCCAAAATCATCCAAAAACTAACCACCTCAAAGTTCATCTTCGCAAGCTACGACGGCGATCTCGCAGCAACCTACGCATATTCCCTCTGTTTCCCATTCGAAATCTTCGGAAATGCTCTCGATTCCGCTCTTTTCTGTCGCGATGCACATTGTTCTTTTTATAGGTAATTCATTCCTCCCTTTCCCTGGTTGTCTTGATGTGCGGAAGAGAGAACTAATCTCCTCTAACTCAATTAGCGACGATGACTGTACGACACCCTCGGCTTTCTCAATTACTCCTATTCCTTTCGTTCAAAACCAAGGTCTTCCTACCAAGCTAACTGCGAGCTTGGGGTGGAAGAGCGCAAAATGTGGAAGTAGTTTGGTGGGGTTTACTTTGGGTCAGTAAGATACCTATTCGGGATCTATCTTGGAGTGGAATTTTGGGGGAAGGAGGGGGAATACATCTTTTTTTGCAATTTTGAGTGGTCCTTTTGCCGCGTTGTAGTGGATTATAAATTTCTATCATCTAAACTTGCCTTTCCATTGTGATCTACTTGCGACACTATGGTGCTGTCATCGGAACCAATACAAGGCATTCAAGCTATCATTTTATCCCCAGATCCAGACGGAGTCTATGGAATTTTGGCAGTGAGACATATAACCAAAACTGAACAAGTTATCAACTAACTACATAGTGATTCTGAAGTTGCTTCCATGGTGCCTGTACAACGCATTATGATTGCTTTAAATCAAGAAGGGGTATCATCAAACGTCCTGAAGAACTTGTCGAACTCTCTTCACATTGTAATTCTAGGCTGTACACTGATATAATCCAATGCGAGATATAAGATAACAATTCATTCTCTTTAATCACTTATTTGAAAAAAGTACACCGGGGTATCATAATATGATCCTTACTGCCCTACTAAAGCATTTGGGTCTTTCCAAAGATCGATGCCATGATTATTCCACCCGTGTAGCAGCGGCCAAAGTAGAAAATAGACCCTAAATGATTATAGACTCCGCATAGAAATGCAAAAAGTGACCCCATTAAAATCATTTCTCCACAAAAATCCCATCACAGAAAAATGCAAACAAAAGCGCCTCCACACCTTCCATGATGCCATGCTAAACAGATAATCCAACCCCCCTACGTATGTAAGTATCCTATAATATGCGACGCGCGAAGACAATGTACATATCCATGTTAATACCAATGCTTAAACACAAACCAGCGCATATGTATACCCATATCTAATCCCATACCCATTCCAAACCATAATACTGCCAATACCCATAAGTCGTGATTATTTCCTAATATCTTCAACGTTGTCTGATACGTTCGTCAAAACCCATCCAATACCTCGTCCCAATCGGAAACCTCTCCATCACCATAATCAGTACTAGCAACACTAGCTTCCTTTTGAAACTGTTGCGTCTCGTTTGTCATAGAACTCGCTCCCTTCTGCCTGTCTTTGATTCGTGATGGTGTTTGCAATTCTACCTCCTCAGTATCCATCTCTCGTCTACCCCTCTCGCTAGTCTTTCTCGGTGTGGGTGTGGGAAGAACCGCTTTGTATACCTCATCCCACTCCTTACTTTCAGCGAGCGCAGCTTTAAGCTGTCCATCTACTTCAGGTTCAAGGTCATCGTCAAAGTTATGTCTATTAGATGAAGTCGCCTCTTTAATTTCATCCCATGCTCGCTTGCTCTCTGCTAAAGCAGCAGCCTCCAAATCTTCTGGTTTCTCGGTGAAAAATCTCTTTTTAGTAAACTTGTCTTCAGGCTTTTCCTTAAACCAAGGTGATCTTTTTGGCTTGGGCGTGAGTTCCATATCTGGATCAATTTGTGGAGTACTTGGTTCAGCTGAATGGCTCTGAAATCTTACCGGCCGGCCTTGATGGTGACTAAAAGGGGATATTTGAGCTTGTGGTAGCTGTGAGGGACCTGCCACCGTTGATTTGGCTTTTGACAAATTCTCCAGTCCAGCGAGTTCTTGACTGGAAAAAATTGAATCCTGGCTACAAATGAAGCTTTGTAGATCTTCTATTCCTGCCGATATCTCTTTGTGAGATTCAATGTTGTTTTCCCTTTCATTTCCTTTTTGAGGAGTTGAATCAGAAATTTCCCAATCCTGCGAAAACATTTTAAGTTCCTGCGTAGATAACATGCCTCCGAATTCATCATCAACAGTTGTAGAAACATTGTCCTTCACATCTCCTTGTTTTTCTTCGTCCCGCTTGTGATCCAAATTCCTACCCGAGACTGCAAAAGATTGAGGTGCAGTGGATTCTTCACATAGTTCTCTAGCTTCTTGAGTTGCACTAGGAAAGAAGTCATCAAGATGAGATTCAAGAAATGCCTGTGTGGAAGGCGGAAGACTATAATCGTCGGTTGTTTTCCTGGTATTGACCGAGTCAACAGAGGACGTTTTAAGTTTGCTTTTCTGGGGAAGAGCTGGGGGACCCATGTTGATAGATTTTTCCTGGAGTGCGGGGCGTATATAACTTTTGGATGTAGGGGGTTGAATAGGTGATTTTTGTGCCGGTTCTCGTTTACCATGATGAACTTCGGGCACAAGAGAGTGAACGGCTTCCTCTCGCGGGCCCTGCTGATCCAAACCGGTTGTTCGAGACACTGAACTCTCAGATGCAATGACCGTAGCATTCTTCGACATAGTTCGAGCAGTATCTGACGATGTCTTCGCGCGGGGTTGGTTACTATCTAACGGCCTGGAATCGAGGCGTGTATTTGTTCCTGGTACTAGAAATGCACGTTCATTTATATTGGATGGTGGATTTTGTAGACGATCATGAGAAACTGTGCGTGAGTGTGAGTTGTTTTGTTTTTCGTGCGTCGTGTTTGTGGCTGAAACCCTAGGAAGACGTGATGGTGATATGGTATGTGCGGATTGGGAAGTTGATATATTTCTACCATGAATAGGCGCATGCCAAAGAAGTTCTCTTTCCTCCGCGAAATCCTTTACAAGCCTTTTTGACGTGAGAGTTGTCGCTTTTGTCTCCTCTCTACAGATCTCTTTGTCAATTGATACTGCTTGTTTACTATCTGACTTGCAAGCTGCATCTGCTGCTTCGGAACGGATTTGAGAATCCAGCATATTCTCCAACTCAAGTGCGTCATCGGACGACATTGGCTCCCTTTCAAAATTCTTCATCCGCGGTAACTCTTGCTCATCATTGAACGGGGTGGTAGGATTTTGAAACGGGGGTCTTGTCAGACCTGCAGATCTGGCTCTACCTAGATTCGCATTTTTTGGCGTGGAATGCATGGAACCTGTGTCCAACAATGAAATATCGTTTTCTGACAAGGGCGGAAAGTCTCCAAATTCGTCCTCGGAATCTTCTGGTAGTATTGGTGACCTTGGAATGACTATTTTCTCACCACTCTTTTTGTTTGCAGGTTGTTCCTTCTGGTTTTCATCTTCAAGTTCGCAATTGCGACGCGTGATATGTTTCGACAAGACCTTATCCTCATTTTCATCCTTTTCCCCGTCCCCGTCCCCGTCCTCGTCCTCTTCGGAAATTCCATGCGCAACTCGTTTTGCGGGCGGTTCGTCATCCAAATCGTCGCACATAGTACCCTCAGATTCTTCACCTGGATTCGATGTCTCCCGAAATCTCTTGGTCCCCTGCTTCAAAAATAAAGAAATCCTGGATTGACTTGGGCGAACATGTCTGCTGGGTTCCGGTATCCCCTGTCTCTTCCTTTCTTCTTTCTGCTCTAATGCTTTTGCAGCTTTCTTATCTCTCGCCGCTTTTGCTTTCGCAGCTGCTTGTTCCTTTTCATATGCTTTCCTGTGCTTCGCCAGTTCTTCGGCATCTCGTCGCTTTTGTTCCGCTTTTGTTATTCGTGGCGTTCGATTTGCTTTTTGATATGCTTTTTTTGCTTGCTTACTGGTCATTGGTCGATGGACTTTTGGCGCATCCACCAATTCGAAAGTGCGTTGTTTGCTCGGCATTTTGAAGAGTTGTTGTGTTACATATTGCAAATTGCAGGAATGTATGAATGAATGATTGATGATGGACGTCGTTCAAGGCCGAGGTTGGACGTTGGAAGTGAGATATTGAAGCGATCTATAATTAGTCGATGACACGACGCGTTGACCGTGTTGACGCGGGGTCTATTACTAAGGCAGATAACACCAAGTCACGAGACCTCGGACTAGACATCGCGTACAATATCCCGAGAGCTATGATAAGAACCATTAGATACTTCTGGGGTCAGATTCCGAGGCATATATTCCGTACGGTACTTTTCGCGCCTCTTGCACAAATTGTTTGCTAGATCCAGCTATCTTCACCCGAGCATACATACAAATCAGATCATGATATCCTTATCAAATAGGCTGATATGCATCCTAGCCTTCATTCCCGCACCTATCTCAACAATTAATAAGTTCTTGAGGTTCACTATTTTTGAATTGGGCTTTCAGCAGATACCGTTTGCAAACGCCGTACTCAACTGAGCACTTATATCTTCGGCGTGTCTCTTACTCAGGAGTAAGCTATATGGATACCTACTAAATGAATTGCCTCGAGTGGTTCTCACAGGTAGGAGTATGTTTTCAGGTTATACTTCAAGAAGCAAGATTGCAGTCGGTAGAGTTATCTGATGAATATCAAACTTTACGGTGCGGGGTAGATTTCTCAGACCATCTAGAAATTTTGAAGGTGCAGAACTCGGGGAACTCGATCAAAATATGACTTGTATGTCGTTCGAAACTGGAACAGAACATGGAAAGAAACCTTTCACACCGGCTTATTGTTTCTATTTGAATGCCTGCATAAGAACCCAGAAAGAATCCTGGTAATAGAGTGGCTCAAGAGTGGGTACGCAGGTCAGCAGTGCTGGCCAACACCCGGTCACTAACCGTTGGAAATTTTGATCTCCTTGCACCCGGTGTTGCTTGTATTTTCGGCAAAGCTAAATTGGTGTACGTTAAGACCCCACGGCAGCTCCATAAATGCACTATCTGGATATTGCCTGTGTAACCGGCAAAACTATTCTAAAAGTTTACTTGCCAACTTAGCAGTAAATCTTGCGGTTCTAAAACACAGGGCTCAAAAAGTTAACGTTTGTTTCGATGGAATCATTGAAGCACAAAGATACCCTAAACAAGAGACTATTGCTAAAATAAAGATTAGTTGGTTTTGTTTGGCAGAAACACGCAATTGGCAAGTGAACTCTCCTGGTCACAATTACGTTACAAGTTCGTCCCGACAGTTTGGCACCTACCTATCTAGTGCTTTCCCCATTAGTCTTCCCGCATATGTTGAATGGCAGCGGGCCGGGTAAAATGTCTAGGATGATTGAAAGTTGACAGGTATCGCGCAATTCTATGTCTTGGTAATCACAATGTACGTCGTACCGATTGGATAATGAGCATGAGCCAAGCCTCGGAGACCGGAAAGTGGGTTACTATTAGTGTTCTAGGTAATATATATCAAGTATTTGACAACCTACCTATCCGTACTTGAACCGGTAAATCCACTCCTGCTGCCAAAAATCATGCAGGTCTACCGCTATGAAAACAAGACTACTCCTCTTGTAGTTTGCCATCCTGTGGTATATGCATCTATCTAGCTTCGGAGTGGCATACTTTCTGGCTGCACAAGTAATGTTCGAGGTGCCATGAGCGCCGGGTAAATATACCGTTTAATTTTTTCATTTCTCTTCTATGCGTATCGGCGGAAATTTAAATCCTTTTCATTGTCTAACCTCCAGTAAGATGTTGCATTACTAAAAGGAGACGACGTGCAGGCCGGGGCTTCACATTTAGTCCGAACGATATCCAAGTCCTTGATGCCTCGGTTATATTCAGCACCACTTTATCCTTCTATTTATTTACAAATTCTTCCTATGAATCTTGGTGGGAATCTTGGTGGGAATCTTACCAGTTAGCAGTTTGAGATTTCACCGTCAAGAAAAATTGAGTGAGGCTCATGGAATGCAAACAAAATCTGTACCTCGCTATGGTGACTGTTCTTTATATCCACTACTTGACAATATTTCCTCGCTTGGTTCTAATCCTGTCGTACGTATTGTTTTTACATTCACATATTAAGCATACATTGCTACACTAAGAATCCGAGTATTTCTTTCCATTACCAGGTCCCAGCACAGCTCGCTCACTATGGTAATCATTGTGCTCATCAACACTCATAGCCGTCGCCATTAAAGTTGTGTCATTTTTAGGGCGTCTTTTTATGGCAGGGGGTGGTAAATCTTTTTTCCCTTCTTCTAGATTATCCAGTCGATATCCTCGACTGGAACGCCTACCCGTACTTGATAATGAACCTCTCAAGACTTTGTAAAGTGGTCGGTAAGTGGGTATTGTTGCAGTGAGGATCGTAGTCATTAGTTCGGTAGACGACCATAATATTAAACCTATGGTTTCATCTAAGAGAGACTGTTAATACTTCTGTTTTGGAAAATTGGCTACGGAGATTTACTCACAGGAATAATCAGACCTTGATGAGAGGCCGTTCAGGTTTACTGTTCTAATCACACCACACACCATAGCACTGATTGATTGTAAGTTTATGACTACGGTTTGTGCCAGCGAGGAGACCTACAAAATTCCCAAACTCATGGATGATGTGATAAGAACTTTCTCCTTCTTCTTCATATTCAACTTCCAAAGTATGATCCATGGTAGCGCAGCGAGAATGAAATCTGCTGCTGCGGAGGTGCCTCTGAGGTATTAGCCAATTTTGCGGGATGAAATCTGGAATCGTGCCACTCACCTCCCACAGTGATTGAGATGGCAGTAAATTGTTCTGTGGAGACCCAACACTTGGCAGGAATATATGGGTTCCAAACATGAGCTATCGGATCACACCGAATGAAGTCAAACAGAGCGCAAATGACGGCGATACCAGTGACCGCAAACATGGTGATGTAGAGAATCCATTTGTGCCATTCGACAACGGCAAGTCTCAGCAAAAACACCGATGCTGAAGCTTTGCTAGTGGCTATGCCGATGATACAGAACCTAAAATGTATCTTAGATGTATTGCGCGTATTATCGGAAAGAGGTGACAGTGTACGTTTGACCAATAATCTCCGATCGAGTGGCATTTGCGAAAGCCTCGATGGTGAGATCCGAAGAATGTTGACCGAACCCTTGAGTTGTAGCTGCCGTGCAGGCCACTGTGTATGGCATCAACATAAACTAAATATCTATTGTCAGTACCGAAGACAAGGAATCACTCAACAACCTCAACTCACCCAGCTGACTATGATAAGATAATCATCAAAGCCCACGTTTCGCGTGATGAATCCTTTCGTGTAGAGTCTGAGACCAATTGCGAGTAGAGCTATAACAGTCTCCGTCCACATGACCGCAACAATAGTAGGCCCTTTACTGGCTATGGCCATTGTGACTGGGAGAGAAGAGTAATTTAGCTGAATTGATTCCAAAGTAGGGCTCTCTTATAAGGTATATAGAGACACATAATGCGTATTTTCATATTGAAAACACCTGAAACTCGAGCTCAACATTAGTCCGAGTTATGCTTTGCAATCGAGAACCATGGCTATATAAAAATCGGTTGGTAATCTCCACAGTGGTATAATTGAACAATAAATAATTCGACTTGTTGACCATGGGCCCCAGATATTGATTATTAACCCTCAATTCCTCGGCTAGAAATTAATTTGATAACTTGACGACGTTTGGAGCAGACATTAATGCCATTCGGTAGATCCTCTCAAGAATACGAATGTGTTCAGAGTATACGGTCCAAAACTGCTGCTCTCGACACCATCATTTCATCCATAACATGGGACCAGGCTCACTTTAATTGATCCGCAGGATGATTTTGCATCGTTTAATCCTCCCCTGCCACATCCTTGCATCGGTAAAACTTTTTAGTGCCGCCTTTTCGAGCTGGCGAATAGTGTGAGGGAATTAATCTGCAGGCATCTCCGTATTTTAAAGCTTATTGTATAGCTAACGTGGGTTACCAACGGTTAGTGGAGACTGCTGCATATCTATAATCTATGCAACACTGTAAGTCTGCCAGGGGTACTTCCGATTATGCTCCCATTCATCACATCTTGATTGTGACATTAAGTACCTGTACAATGTCTTGCTTGTTTACCTTTGTATAAGACCCGACCCTTCATCACAGATAATAGCCCCGCATTTGCCTTTCTCCCGTATTTTATCGTCTTCATTGCTATATCATGGCGCCAGGCATGTCCATCTTGCAGGTAATTCTTTCAAGTGTCTTCATTTTCGGGTTCTATTTAGCTTGGTATTACTTCACATCTCCCCTTAAAAGCATCCCCGGGCCATTTCTAGCGAAATTTACGAATTTCTGGCGCTTGATTGACACCTATAATGGCCGAGCAGAGCTCACGCACAAATTCCTTCACGAAAAATATGGACAAGCTGTACGAATCGGCCCAAACCTTGTCAGCCTCAATGATCCAGATCTTGTTCGCACTATTTACAGCCTCAAGGGGGATTTCCTCAAGGTATGATTAGGCTCTATGATAAATCAGCTTTATCATGGTTCTTGAAATCTTTTCCCTCTGTTACTAACGGGTAAACAGAGCGACTTCTACACGGTTAATGATAGCAAAGTAGGAAACACAACCATCAAAACCGTCTTTGGTATTCAAACAAACGAGATGCACAGTCAGATGTTACGGCCGGTTCAAAAGCTATATAAGATGGGTCATATATTGACACTTGAGCCATTGGTAGATAACACCATCAATCATCTTTTCAGACGCCTCGATGAGTTGTTTGTCGATGCTTCTAACGCAGGGACAACTTGTAAAATAGATGAGTGGATGGTGTTTTTTGCATGGGATGTTATCGGCCAAGTCACCTTCAGTAGATCGATGGGCTTTCTGGACGCTGCCTGCGATCATTCGGGTTATCTCGACGTATCAAACCAGATCAACGACTACTTTTGCGTAATTGGACAACTTCCTGCTCTGGACCATTGGCTTGCAAAAAATCCAGTGTGGCCTATTGGACCGTTGACTGTTGACAAAGCCGCAGCATATTGCGCCGAGCAGTCCATTGCACGTCAAAAAGGTACAGATGAAAAATCTGTTGATCAGAAAGATATGCTCGATGATTTTCTAGAGCTCAAACGTTTAAATCCAGAGATGATAGATGATAACACAGTAATTGGCTATATGTTACTCAACATTCTTGCTGGTGCTGATACCACTTCCATCGCTATTCGAGCAATCATCTACTTCACCCTCAAAAATCCACGGGTATACAAAAAGCTCCAGCAGGAGATAGACAATGCCAATCTGTCTTTGCCTGTAGCCTATAAAGACGCAGCGAAACTACCATATCTTGAAGCCATAGTCAGGGAATCCAGCCGCTATTTTGCAGGTGTAGGTCTCTTACTTGAGCGTGTGGTTCCCGCAAGTGGCCTCACCCTTCCCGATGGTACTTTCTTACCTCCAGGAACAAATGTGGGCATGAGTCCCTGGACCGTTCACCAAAGTAAGAAGGTATTTGGTGAAGATGCTGGATCCTTTGTTCCAGAACGTTGGCTTCGATATGAGGATCTTGAGACTCAAGAAGAGTATGAATCCCGCCGCGCCGCAATGAGACAAGCAGATCTCAGCTTTGGTGCTGGCAAAAGAATTTGTCTCGGGAGAAATGTCAGTATCCTTGAGATATACAAACTGATTCCTTCGTTATTTTTGACCTATGACGTAAGTGTATCCACTTATGCTTTTTCTTCACTCAGTGACACTGACCGTAACACAAGATTTCTCTCGTGGACCCTCAAAAGGAATGGAATGTTCAGAATTCATGGTTTGTAAGACAAACTGATATTGGCGTAAGGATCCAAAAACGAAAGTTTGCAGCAGTCTAGTTTTAGCCCTGTGAGTTGTGTGAATAACAAATTTAAATATAATGCAATTAGAGATATTCAAATTATGTGAATATTTATTAGTACAATATCATGCATTAAGAAAATTTATACATACCAAGATTAGACAGTTACTTTTCACAAAGGACTCTGCAATTCACAGCAGCAGTATTTGACTGAATTTAATCATTGATATTCCTAAAGTACCATGAATAATAATTTGGATACCTTCTCAATACTTGAGCTCCGTCACAGACCATTGCCTCGTGACAGCGATCTTCCCTTGACTCATGATCCTGCCAGTGTTCTCATTGCCACGAATTTCCTCACTTTCTTCAACTACTCCTAGTTCTCCACTATTACCATTTATAGAATTCTTGATACCCAATATATCTTTTCCACTCTCCGTATCATTGTTTGCACTATTTAAGCGGCGCATGCGGAATGATTCTTTGTGGAAAGAGAACTTGGAACCTCCACGGTTGGTCTTGTAACTGTTAAAGTAAGATGCGATTCGGTGGTTGAGAATGATTTCGAGAAGAGGTATGAGCGTTGGAATACATGCAGCGATGATAATCAAATTGATCTCATATCTGTCACGTTGATCCAGTTAGCTTATATTGTGCACAGATTGGTCACTTGTAAATTGATACAAAGAGCTTGATGCGAAAAACTTACGCGTTCCATACAAATAGCCACACGGTAGCCCCTGAAGAACAAAGTCAGTTTTGAGACCGTGAGGGAGATAATTTATTTGCATGTAATGTCAGAGTGATTGGCATCATTTTTGAGTTCAACAATCTTGATAACGGCGAATCCAAAGGCACTGGTTTTTGAGTTAGCAAAACCCACCCAGAGTTCTACAACTGGCATGCGATCGGTGGTTTCTAAGATTTGCCATATTGTCGCACCATCTTCGAAACCATAAGCTCTTGCAAATGGCGTATCTGTCCAATACTCTTGTCATCGACATCATCAACTCCCCCATAACCCCCCAACCCAACTTCATCATCCCAGACCCATCCACCAAAACCAAAAAAGCACCACCAACTCTCTCCTCCCATCCCCAATCCAGCATCTCATTCACATCCCCCAACTTCACAATTTCCTCACAACCCAGCCCATTCAAAACACAAATCTCCATTTCTTCCACTAGATCCCCCACAACTGTTCAGATCTCTATTTGGATAGAAACTTATACGGTGACTACTGACTTCAGTATGTATAGCTGAGGATGTGAGTTGTGGATCACAAATAGATTGATGGATTTGATGATGAAAGCGCAGTTTGATTCCAAAGAACGATATAAAAGTGAACGGAGATCTCCATCCAGGAATACTGATCCCAGGTTCAGAGTGGAGAGTGTGCAAAGCGTAGTAAAATTCAAAATGTCTTTTAATATTGTGACTTGGAATCCTTGAATCAATCATATAAAACTATAGAAAACCAATCAACTCATCAATAACACATTCGAAAAACCAACAATTGTATAACTCTTACATAAAGAGAAGAAACTATCATCAGAAACACATTCTTCAGGAGAAAATTTCAAAAATAGGGCTGTAATATCAACCACCCCTAAAGCGAGAGATTCGTCACTCGGTTGCTCAACTCTCCATTGGCCAATTTCTTGTCTTCTATAGCATTTTTCAAAGATAGTTCCTGCATCGATTCCTTGCGTTCTTTCTCTTGCTGCTCCTGTACCAGATTGCATGTTTTAAGATGCAGATCAATGGTTTCATTGTTTGCCTCTATATCACCATCGATATCACGCTGCTTTTCTTCCTGTTTTCGTATTTCATCTCTCAAATTGAGCACCTGCAAGTTTGTTTCTCGTTTATATGGGTTATTGTGCAGATGCACTGCACTATCGATCGCCTCAATATTTTGATTAGTCAAAAGAGTAGTTGACTAGCTCATTTCCAATTGGCGGTCGAGCAATTCTCGTTGATCGTTTTCCATGTCTCGGAGGCCGATCAGCTCTCTTCGCCGCTCAACGAGCATGGCCCGTCTTTCTTTTAGTACCAGGAGCAGTTCAGCGCCCTCTTGACCATTTCCCGCGCCTGCATCTAACAGCGTATCCAAAGCTTTTTTCCATGCATATCCAACCCCGAGTCCTGCCTTGCCTGATCGAACATTGGAAAAAAGCAAACAGGAAACAGTTGGGGCGACCATAGGGCCATTTTCCCACATAGGTCCGCCTTTAGCATGGATATCAGCACCGGCTTTCAATAAAATCTCAATGGTTGTAAGTAAGTCAATACTATTGCGACCATAATTGGGCCCGAATGCGAAAGCCTGATGCAATGGATTCCAAGTCAGGTTCCAATCGGGACACCAGCCATGTGGCAAACGAATAGTTTTTTTATTTACGTTGGAACCACAATCTAGGAGCAGTTTACACATTTGCACATCATTCAATCCTGCTGCAATCTGCAATGGCGTGTATCCGTCACATTCTGCCTCGATGTCTGCGCCATACGAAAATAATATCTTTACCACTTCCAAATGCCTATGGGCTGTCGCCGTCAACAACGGAGTTCCGTCTTTAAGATTAAAATAAGGGGCACCAGTCCAGGCACGACTTTCCAAGAGATATTTATCATTGGCACTATTTTCCAGAAGATATTCACATAATTCAACATATCCATCTTTGCAGGCAACGTGCAATGGAGTGCGATTAAAGCTGCCCTGCCTAGAATCAAGTCTTGCTCCAGCCTCACACAACAACTTGCAGATTTTGAATCGATTTCCAGCCGCAGCCGCAATCAGTGGATAGCCCCACAGTCCGCCGCAAGCGTTTGGATTCGCACCTGCTGCAAGCAGAAGTGTAACGATTCTCTCCGCGAAATGAGATCCTATGGCCGCAGCATGTAATGGGGTTCCTAAAGCGGATACTCTTGATTCGTTAGGTTCTCTACCCTTGCATGGAGCATTGCTTAATATGATCTGGACTAAACTAATTAAGCCATGATGACAAGCCCAAGATAAAAGACATGGTACAGGGGTGCTAGAATCTAGTTCGATTTCGGGAAAATCTCCTGTGAGTGCTAAATCGTATGCGGAGCATGGATATTGTAATCCAACCCCTTCGTAGATGGTTTGTGATAACTCCCATGCATTCTGATTGTTTGACGAGGAATAGTCTTTCTTTATCAACAATGATACCAACTCGTGTAAACGTCCCCCGACATTATATGGCTCATTTCCCCGGATTTCAAGGAGTTGCATATAATAGGTCCAGCAGAACGTTGCGTGATAGATTAAGGGAAATCTATCATGATTATCGAATATTTCGGAATATGGAAATTTCAAGAACGAGCCAACATGAAGTAAGTATGCTATACAACGTGCTGTAATTGATTCAAAACCATATGATTCTTGTAGGTGGTATTTATTAATGGGTCCATTGGACGTGCGACTTGATTGTAAGAATTCCTGGACAGAATAGTGGGCAAATTGAATTTGCAACTTTCCATTCAACATTGCAGGAACGAATCTTCCATTTTCACTGTAAGTTGTAACAAATATTGATGGAATGATATCAAGAAGAGTGAAATTGTCACCCTCGCAGCTCAATCCATCGTCTTCTCTCAGATAAGGAGGAGACTCAATCTGGACTACCACTGCTTCTGAGAGCTCCGACACCGTTAAACAACGCGGGGAGTAAGCAATCCATTGCAAGGCAACTTTGACGTAGTCCTGATCCTCCTCGGGTATTTCTCTCAGTGCTCTTTCGTAAAATATATCGAGGGAGCTCGGGAGTTGGTTCAATCCCTTTCTCACTGCTGACATATTCCTGTGCCGTTTCAATGAATCCAATTGAAGTGCTGCTAATCTGAACATACCATCAGCTTGTCGCGCAATGGATTCCACAACTTCTTCCTTCAAGTCAGAATTCCACATTGTTTGTCGGAAGCTACTGATGTTGCTATTGAGGAACTTCTTGATGTCTTCGGTAATGTTTGGATCTTGAACTCTGATGCTTTGGCACCTGTCCGAAACATCTTGCTCCCTCATTTCATCTAGATGAAAACGGATATCATCCTCTGCTCTACTTGTGACAAAAATGTGTATAGAATCGATTTTCCATTGATGAATGTCCTTGAGAGTCTCCAGTAATGAATCCCGTTCTGTCTTGGGGTACTCATCCAGAGCATCCACAACCAAATAAATATCTTGAAGGCCGGTCACAACAGACTTGAGGATTTCCATCATTTGTTTGATGGTCGGTTGCTGCTGGCCATGATTGCAATGGGCATACGCATCTTTCAAAGTCTGCGGCGTATCCCGACGGTTACTACAAATGTCTCTAATCCAAGAACGAATTATATTGGAAACGCTCTGTGTATTCAAGTTGTCAAATTTGATATACCAGTATGTGACAATAACATTTATCTCTTGTTTGCAGAGTTGTTGAATATGTTCAATCACAGTAGAACTGTGAAAATGTTAGATGGCAAGGGAAAGAGGGGTTGTCGAACATACCATAGAATCGATTTTCCCGCCCCCGCTGATTTTATCGTTAGCTTAGTTCTTTTAGGTAGTAAAGGGTCAAACTAACCGCCTCCATTGAGCCACAAGAACGAATTATTGGTTTTCGACCAGGTGTTGAGATGATTTCCGTCTATTAGCCAAGATCCCGTACCCTTTTGGAACTTTTCTCGGGCGATGTTATGTTCTGTAGATGGATCAGGAAGCGACTTTGCAAGCCATTCAATTATCTGGCTTCGCTCTTTGTCTCTCTGAGCCGCTCTTATTTCACTTTGAATATCCTCCAAGATGTTATGGTGGTGCATGGATATGTGCCTAATGATGTACACACAATCAAATTGGCCCCACAACCAACCCCCCCTCACGAGTGAGACAGAGGGACAGAATGCTAAGTCGAAATACAGGGGGTAGCTTGTGCTCTGAGGAAGGAACGATCTCCGTTAAGACTGTGGGTGGCACTTTGCCCGAATCAATCCCTCAAAGATACGCTGCTCTGCTTAATAGTGGAAAAGACTCTTCATATTGTACCAAAACATAACTTTTTTTCTGAAAATATCCGAAATCTTTCAAACTCAGATGATGCATTGATGATTGCCTCGATCTCGAAACAGAATATTGTTGAGTTTTGGTCATGAATTTTTGTACGTGATGACGGAATGGATCCGCGTAAATAGCCATAGCATACCACCACTCGTAAAGTATTTTGACATACAGATCTTTTGTTCTGCTAGAATGGCGGGTGAAAGTAAACAGACTTACAAATTCTCAACTCCAAATGCTAACATTAAATCATGTTTATGCTTATTGATAGAATCCACATGCTTATCCACATCTTTCTTCTTGAACGGCCATATCAAAGACTTCAGCTTTCCGATATGGTTTTGCTGTTTCGAAAAGGTATCGAGTTCCTTCTTGATGCCATCAAACTCAGCCTTACAAGGCGACAAAGTTCCCGTTTTGTTTTCCAAGAGAGTTTGGATATTGATCGAAAGAGTATGTGGCAGATCGTTAATAGACTTTAGTACGCTTTCGAGATTCTTGATCGAATGATAAAGCCGTTGTATATCGTCGCGAGCACTTTTGACTCCTTCGTAGTATTCCTTTAAAGCCCCACCAACAGCCTGCGCCAGTTGCACCACAGCGATAACGCTGGCAGCAGTACTCAGGCCGTCCATAGTTTTGGCGGTTGTGACGATAAAAGCAAATGCGTGATGTTTATATAAAAGAGATGAAATGAAAAGTATCTTTGGATCAAATCACCCAAGCTTTCTGTGTAATAAATTGTCTGAATCGTTTTCATGAAATGAGGGGAAGGCTGAAGTGCTGGCTGCCCAAAGCCTCATGTTACCCATCTTTCGTTTGCTCACCAATAACGGCCGATGGGTAAACGCCCACCTGCCCAAAGTAGCATCTTACATCTCGAGGATACAAGGGTCAATGAAGCGTGGCAAAAGAAGATACATTTTGTTTTGAGCGACGTGTAAATAAATGAGTTGTTGGGTTTTAGAGGTTAATGTAGCTGAGGAGGGGGAATAACCGATATCCCTGCTACGTGCACGCCCCTACTATATGCACGTTTTTTTAATCAAAATAAAAATCAATTTAAAGTTCAAAAATCATTAAAATAAGATAAAATCTAGTTTTAGAATTGAATAATATTATTTATTTTGATTCTCTAGAATTTCAAATTATTGAAATAAAAACTGATTGAATAATAAAATAAAATAAATATATAAATCTAATATATAAATTTTCAATAAAGAGTATATTAAAGTCTATTTATAGAGTTGGAAGATATTTTAATAGATTTTTTAATATTAATATTCTTATAAAGAAATCAAATTTTTTTAAAAAGTAATAAGAATTGATTTTAATATAGATTATTAGGTTTTCTAATTATTTTTATTATTTTAAAAAAAGTTGAAAATGAATTTTAAAATGAATTTAAATTTTATATTGAATATTAAAGTTTTTAATACTATAATATTTTTTAAATAAGTTATATTGAATATTAAAATATATAAATTTTAGATTAATCGAAAGAAATTCTTTGAATAAATCTTTCATTTTAAAGTTCTATTTTTGAAATTATTTAAATCTTGATTTTATAATATATAATGAAATTCTAATTATGAAATTATTATTATAATATAAAAAATTTCAAGAAAAAGGTTTTCGTAATTTAAAATATTATTAAATTGATTTTTTAAAAAAAGAAAATCTAAATAAAAATCATCTTAATATCAATAAATCCTGAAAATTCAAATATTTAAATTTTTTATTAAATCAAAAATCAATTGATATAACTTTTTTTTTAATATTAAAATGAAATATATATAATTGAAGATTATAAAAATCAAATTTTTAATAATAATCAATAAAAGCTTATATTATAATTAATATTATATCAAATTAAATTCTTAATATTTATTTTTAAATCTTTAATTAAATATAATATTAATAAATTATAAATTTTAATATATTTATATATATTTTAAAGATTATTATTATTATATAATTCAATAATAAAATTAAGTATTATAAATTCATTATTTATTAATAATTAATTCTTATAAATTTTCTTTTTAAAAACTATCAGTATTTAATATTGATATAATATCAGAATTTCAAAAAAAAAGTTTAATTTTTTCAATTACTTTATATTATTATATAAAAAATTTCATAATTTCCTTTAATAAATATCACGCTAAAAGTGATATCACCGATAGCATTAAGCTAATTGGGTTTATATAGGCATATTTTCTCGTGACAATAAAACTTATATTTTAAATTTTATTATAAGATATATTAATAAGTAAATAGTTTCTTATTATCACGGGGGCAGGCGGGCGGGATAGGGTTCTAATAACTTTACTCTAATCTAGCAAAGTTATACTAATTCAGATAATAGTGTCAGAAATAGACAGCAAGTTACGCATAAGGAGTGATATATTGAAATATGTATATCAGATCTATATATCCGGGAAGTCCGAAGAAGGAGTTTTATAGTGGTGTGCACGTGCTATACACGTGTTATATATGTGATTTCCAATATTCTCTTTATAGTAGGAATCTATTATCTAAATTATATAAACTCTTTATATATACATATTTGTGAAGAGCCTCATTAATTCCTGCGATAATGCCAACGTTTTAGAGTTGTTTGTGGTATCTATGTTTTCAGTGGAGTTCGATAGCCTTACGATTTAATATTGTATTGTAGTATAAGAGTATTTTTTGTCTGAATCCTGTTTTCCCTGCTTATATTAGGTTGGATTCAATCTATCTAGTAGTTTGAATATTAATCTGCTTTTGTAAATCCTTTTTGTGTATATATCAATGAATTGCTTCAGATTTGTTATTTTTAGATTGTAGGGTTACCTTTTTAGTATGGTAAACGACCCAAATCCAATTTTATGTGAATAGATCTTCAGTTTATCTGTTATTCTATATGATTTTCTTAAAATGATTAATTTGGTTAATTTGGTCAATTTGGTTAATTCATAATAAATTGACTAATTCGACCAATTTGGACAATTTTTGATAAATTCGATAGATCTGATGAATATAGTGAATCTGATGAATCTAATGAAATTATTGAAATAAGTGTATTTGGTAATTTTTATCAATTTGGTCAATTTGGTTAATTTGGTTAATTTGGTTAATTTGGTCAATTTAATCAATTTGGTTAATTTGGTTTAAATCAACCAAATCAACCAAGGTGACTGATTTGACCAAATGCAACTATTGACTCTCTTTGATGTATTCGTGTTCAGCATTCCAAATCCAATTCTAGATCTTTTTTATGAGTTATAAAGCTAGAGTATATGAACTGTTTTGTAAGGATATTGACTGTCTATTTAGTTCCTGAAATCCATATGATATATAGTCTTTTGGTATCAATTATATCTTTTCGAATATAGTGCTATCGAATATCGATATGCTTTGCCTTACTATGGAACTTATTCTCTTGCATCCAATTAATTCCATTAGTGTTGTTATAGTATAAAGTTGGGATAAAGGGCTTTTTCTTAAAGCATTCTTTTAAATCTTTCACTAGCTTTTCCATTCAAGCTAATTCTTTTGTACCCTTATTTGCTACTATAATCTCAGCTTCCATTATATAGAGAGATATCGATTTCTGTTTCGTTAAAGATTATATTATAGCTTCTTTATATCTAATGAGAGCTACTCCTTAAACAGATTTCCTATCGATTATAGATTCCCAAATCGAATCTATATAAGCTTGATATTCATATATAAATATATTTAATCGATTTGAATAGACTATACTTATTGAATATATGCCAGCAAGATATTAAAACAAGTATTTCGCAAGCACTAGATGACTTTCCCCTAATATATACATAATACGAATAAACTGGCTAATAGCATATACTATATCAAATCAAATGCAGTTCAAGAAATAGATAGTGTTATTAACAATCTAAAGATATAATATCATATTATCTTGATAAAGAAGTTCATTTTCGTTTGTATCTTATATAGTTGTATTAGGAGATAAGAGCAAATCTTTTATATCAATAAGATCGATCTCAAATCTTTATAAGATCTTTTTCGTATAATTCGATTAGTGTATCTTAAGTGATCGATTTTATCGATATCATTCTATTTGAATGCCTAGAAACATATTGGTTTCGCCTAAGTCTTTATATTTCCATCAACTTCCGATCATCTTTTTCATCGAATTCATATTGATGCGATTTCCTATTATCAGCAGATCATCTACATATAATAGAACATACATTCCCTTTCCTATAAAGAGATTCGGATCCACTATCGATTCTTTAAATCCAATCTCTTTAAAGAATTTTCGAATTACAGTTTACCAAACTCTTAATACTTGTTTTAGGCTATAAAATGACTTTTTCAATTTGAAATATAGTTTGCTTTTGAATTTGATTTTAGAAAAGATTTCTTCGAAAAATTCTAATACTTCCATAAGGATTTCTATATCCGTTAGCTTATCATTTAAGAAAGCAATATCAATATCTATATTATCAATCTCTAGATTTTCTATTACAACTTTTACCAATAAAGTATATAATATCGAATACCTTATTATATCAACAAAAGTCTCTTGATAATCTATTCTATATTCTTGAAGATATCCCTTAATTACTAATCTTACTTTTCTTCTAGCCAACTTACCAAAGCAATCTAATTTATTTCTCAGAATGTATCTATTACTTAATAGCTTTCGGCCTACAAATACAGCTCTATTTATAATTTCGAAGATACTATTATCCTTAAAACTCTACAATTCATTTCTGATTACTTTTATTCATATTTAGGTGTCCCTTTGTATAGTGTCTTCGAGCTTTACTGATTCTTTAAGTATTGAATTATAATCATTAATTAGAAGATCTTCAGAGTATGCAGAGGTAGTATATAATACAACTATATACTGAACAATCTGATTACTAAAAATCTTTTTCAATCATTTCTTGTAACTTTTATTCAGAACATCTCGGACTAGAGTAGCTATTGAAATAGGCCTAGCTCTTGGAATCTCTATAACTATTTATACTCTTTATCTTTTTTTATTTATTTATTTATTTATAATAATTAACATCTATTATCTAACCTCCCAAGGGGTATTCTAGATGTACTAAGGAGCGGGCCTACAGGCCGCTAGCATTCCAACCGCTTATAGTAGTGTAATATTAACTAATCAGGGGCTTGTTGCCTTTAGTATTTCCTTGCTTAATATTGTTCATAGCGATTCTGTGGTTGTTCTGTCTAAGGGTTTATGATCCTGTTTCAGAAAGCCTTATTTCGTATATTATCCGGGTATCGGCAGATAATCAGATCAATCACTATCGATTGGGAGAGTGCTCGAAGTGTTTATAGCTGTTTGGTGCGGATCTTAAATTGATTGGGGTGGAAAGCTTATCCTCGGGATATTAGAGTAGGTTGGAATTCATATAGTTTTGTGTAGTTTGAGTATATCCTAATATAGAATCTGGATTTAGCAAGAAGGTCAATAAAGCTATATTGTATTCACAGGATGCAATTGATATATGTTATTACATCCTATTCGGATTGAAGTTGATTTGGTATAAGCGGCTAGTCACTGCACGTTCGATTATTGATTGAATATTGAAAAAAATACAATAAGCTTTTTTTAATTCTATATATATAGATATTTATG